TTTTCTCTCATAGACACGAGTCTTTCTCAAGGATTGATTTTGTTTTGACATCAACTGACTTACTTACTGCTTGCAATAAAACAAAAATTTTTCCCAGAACTTTGACTGACCATAGTATGGTATGGTTAGAGATTGGTCAACAAAAAAAAAGGAAATCTTGGAGAATAAATGAAAATTTGTTTAATTATGAGGATAAGGTCAAAGTTCTGAAGGAACATATGGAAGAGTTTTTTCAACTTAACTTGAATAAAGGTACTCCTATACATACTGTTTGGGACGCCAGCAAAGCCTATTTGAGGGGCTTACTAATTTCCATGAACAATGCACATAAACACAAGCAAATACAGAGTAGATTAAATTTGGAAAAAGAAGTTTCTTAAGCACTTTGATGTAAAAATTAAAAAAACCAATAAAATTTCTTAAAATAAAAAAAAATTAAAAATGAGGTAAAACTTAAAAACATGATATGGATATGCATAAGCAAAAATCATATTGATAAATGTTTCAACTGAGTTTGATATAATTAGAAATTTACTAGCTTAAATATGCTATAGTAAATGTTAAGAGAAGAAATTTTTGATGATGTAACCTGAGATATGTACTAAAGATTTTGTTATTGAACTATTGACTAACCCAATCACCACGTTGCTTTCCAAATACTCAAATGTAAAACTGGAAAACCAATAAAAATTTGTTATATATAAAAAAAACTGGTGTGCATTTTGGATGTTTTCCTGGATTCTCTGCTTCTACTTGGAGCAGGTTGTGGCCAGGAAGACTTTGCCAGATTCATCGGATACACCTATTGCAATCTGACTCGGTCCTCAATCAGTCATGTCTTAAATTATCAGCACTTGGCCTATTACATTCTCTGTGAGCATTCCTTGAAAAGCACTCAGAAGCTGCAATTGATCCAAAATGTGGCTGTGCAAGCAATTATGCCTTAATAGACACCTCTGCTACATGAATGCACTGGTTACCAATGTTCTTCCAAATGAGATTCATGGTGTTGGCTGTGACCTATGGGCTAGAGCCTGGTTGTTTGAGGGACTGCCTTTCTCTCATTGTCTCTATCTGTCTTGAATGTTCTAACAAAGTTGACAAGTTGTGGGGTCTGTCTTTGATACAATGTCACCTGATGGTTGCAGGAAGCATGTCTTCTCTGTTGTGGCATCTGCCCTGTAGTATGTCATCCCTGTAAAGCTTCATGTTGTTCTGGCCCTACTGCCCTTAATCAAGCCTTGAAGACTTGGCTCTTGATCCAAGCAAGCCTAGGGATAATAAGGAATTTTCATGCCTTTTTATTATTGGGCCTGATTTGCTTTTGATTTTGGCTTTATTTTCTCTTGTCTCCTAATGGGGATTTTGTAATGGCTGTTTATATTGTAAGCTGTCCAGAGATATATGAATTCAGTGGCTCTATACATTTGATTAAGCACACTTTGCCTCTCTTGCTGCATGCGCATGCATCTATAAACATTTCCAGATCAAAATCCATGTAAATGGGGCATCTGGTTATTTTTAGCATTACAATGAAACCTTATTTAATGAACTACATTCTGCCACATGTAGCATTTTCTGTTAATTTTAGGGGATTTGATTTTTTTTGAGTGGGGGGTGATACTGTGCTTTTTTATAATACAGGCTTTCCCGCCTTTATAAGTTTCTCTTGATTCTTGGTGACTGGCCTGATACTGCAGTTTTCTTGGCAACGTTTTCAGAAGTAATTTGGCATTGCCCCCTTCCTATGGCTAAGAAAGAGTGACTGGCCCAGGGTCACCCCGGAGGCTTTATGGCTAAGGCAAGACTAGAACTTGTGGTCTTCCAGATTCTAGCCCAGTATTTGTAATTACTCTACACTACAGTACTTTTGAATTCAGAACTCAAAGAGATTTGGTAATGCATATATCTCTACCAAGATTTTTTAACAAATGTGTGTGTGAGAACTTTGCTTACATTTCTTGTTTCCCTTTTTCCCTTTAGGTATAAATTCAACCCACATCTGATGTTTGGCAACCAAGAACTTCAGACTCGCAGACTTCTTGCATCTTCCCTGTAGCTGAACCTGCCACCTTGTTTGTTGCCAACTCCATTTCTTTGAAATGACTGCAGAAAACTACCTAATCTTTTCTGATGTCTTGAGAGATTAGATCAGCTGATCTTGCTGGTTAAACGAACTCTGACCATGTGTTAGAGACATGATATGTCCTATCTACTCAAATCTGATTGCCACACATATGTTTCATTTGAAGTTAAATATTAATTTGGGATGTGAATCTGAATGTCCTTGTTTGGTCTTGTTACATACACAGAGGTTAGGACTGCTGTCTCCTATGCTGGTTAGGACTGCTGTCTCCTATGTACAACTATTAACAGCTTTTTAAAAGATACAGTTGCATCTCAGTTCTGAATCTGGTGAATTAAATTAAGCAGGTTAGTTGCCATTTGTTTTCTTTCCTGTTTTTCAGGGTTCATCTGGATCACTGGCTAGAATATATGTGTCTGATATTACACATGTATTGTTACCTACAGAATCAGCTCAATATTTTGAGTCAGTATCAAACCATTAAATGTGTATCCTCCCACCCACCCCCAACTGTATTTTCTGCTTGAAGTGTACACTGAAATAGTACAAGTCCTACAGTGAAATTATAAGGCATGCCACTCTGAATAGTTAAACTGGAACTTGGGCCAATAGTTTAGAAGACCAGGTATCCTTAGGTGCAATAACTAAAATGAAAATTGCATTACATCAGTACAGAAATTCCTTGCATTATAGGACTTTTTTTTTCACGGATGCATTTGCATCTAAATCTAAGCGGGATGGCTATTACATGGCTCAGCACATTTGTATTCTTCACTTGTAATGCAATATATTTTTACACTGGATAGTTCTTAAGAAAATGTCTTCATAAAAGCTGGTCACTGCATAAGAATAGCTTTCTGAATGGACTTCTTGCAAATGACATGGAACTTGTTCCTGGGCAAAGCAGAGTCAAAGGCTAGCTGTTTCTCAAAAGAAAACTGGCATCTTTATGACAATCTATTAAAAAGGATATGACTCTTATGGTGATAAATAATTTGAAATAAGATTGCTTCATTTTATAACTTATAAAATCAATTTTTATGATAGTTTCTGTCTGAAGAGAGTTTATGTCTGAAGAAATAGCAAGACAACAGCAAATGACTCTGAAATACACTATTGAACATCTGATCAGGAGTGCAGCTCCTTCTCTTAAGTGCCATTTCTTTCCGTACTTACCTTTTGGTGAATCTTGAGCTTTGATTTATTGCAGCTGAACATGTTCAAGCTTTTGTATTGTATCTTTAGTTTCATCAGTTTAGAGATTAAGGATCTAAATCGAACAATACATGGAAAACTGACATGACATTGGATCCAATCTTATGCCATCCTTAAGGTGTAACTTAAAATGATGGTACACATTACTCATACCCAACTTGTACCCAGGTTATTTCAACATGTAGGAGTGTAAACTATGACCAAGTCTGGACTTAACAGCTGGATGGTTCTGAAATCAGATTTGTTTACATTTAACGCTTTCAAAGTTGCAGCAGCTTTTAACATTCTTAAGAAAGTGATTAAATTTCTCATGTGATTGATACCTAACATACACTTGAGGTAATTCAGGTTCACACCTAGCAAAATATTTAAGATTATTTTTATGTCTGGGTCAGAAAATAGTATTATGTCTTCCCTTCATACTATAATGACTAATCATTCAAAAGCAGTGCAAAACCTAGAACAGACAGAAATTCAGTATTGAACTGTTGCTTATATTAGGCTTGTTTTATTATGTACAACTATTATAGAAATTCACCTATGTATTTTTCATATTTAATTAATGTGCTCATAAACGACTTCTAAATTAATTAGTAGTGTAAGGAGAAAGCAGGAGTTAAGCATAGAATTAACATACTGTGAAATATTTTGATGGTTTTGCTTTCCTATTAAATGGCTTTACCTTACAACACTAATCAATTTGCACCTTAAAATGTTTTTAACTGATTTAGATATGAAAATTACACATGGTTGCAACTTCAGTATGAAAACCGGACATATTTTCGAAGATTTCAAGATTTACAAAGAATCAATACAGAAAAATATATATATTTGGATTTGCAAACCATCTGAGCTTGAATGAGAAATAGCATCATTTCCCTGTAATAGCTACTCAACATTTATCTTCCTATGTCCTTGATTTAATCATTTTAACAAAAAACAAAAATTATAAACTTATAATATACAATGCATTGTTTGAGCAGTTGTCTACCCACGCCTTATTATGAAGTTACTATGATACTGTTGGATACTAAAATGGGCATTATAGAATATTAGTTGTATATAAATATAACATTTGTACATAAAAGGGAGATATGCTTGGCAAATACATGACAAAAAGCCATTCACTGGGGATTTTTTTTGGTCTGGCAAGCTGGTATTAACACAATTGTTTGATAACGTGGAACTATTGCCATGTTTCATAAACTTCCTGAATTGATGTGACTGCTAAATCGGATTTTGCTGTTTATGCAAACATTTTGAGGGAACAAATGCAAATTAATTTTATTAATTCAACTAGAAGGGCTAAGTAATGCTTTCCCCACACTATGCTAAAATAGCTGTTCCTCTTTTTAAAAACAATCACCCAAAAGCAAATGCTTTAAACGACAAGTTGCTCTTAGAGATGTTCTATGTCAGTGGTTCTCAACCTGTGGGTCGGGACCCCATTTGGGGTCGATCGACCATTTCACAGGGGTCGCCAAGCAAGGCTGTCCGCCATTTTTTTCCCCTTTTCCGGCGGGTGCCTTACCTCCCTTGGGCTGGGCCAGCTGGTGGTCGGCCTGCTCCGTCTCTTCCGCTTGCCAGATACGCCTCGGCTGGTGCAGGGGGTGAAACCACGCATGCGTGGCGCTCCCGGGCAGGGAAAGTCCTCGACTTACGACCGGTTTAGTCCTCGACCTATGACTGGTTTAGTCATCGACTTACGACCGGTTTAGTCCTTGACTTACGACCGGTTGGGGTCGCGGCATTAAAAAGGTTGAGAACCACTGTTCTATGTGATATGCTAAGAGTCACTGCATGAACTGTATGCGATGTCAGGTTTCCAGATGCTTTTATGGCAATCAAGAATTTTCTACATTGATTAATTGTGGGATTAAAAATCCCGGGGTCCCACTCCCTGCGGGACGGTGGTGACATACGTCAGCCTAAACCAACGGACCTCGCTTTAGGTTAAGAAACACACGGACAACATGCTTCTTCAGGTGAGATGACATGCGAGAGCCCCGAAGGATCTGCGTGCCCCTCTTTTATTGGTACATAAACGTCATAAGGGGGTGTACAGAAAGGAAATAGGGGAGTGGGTCTTCATTACCATATATGGAATACACAAAGAACAGGAAACTTGAAACCAGGAGGTACTAATTCATTCTTTGCTTACGTATCAGAAACTAAGTGTCTTCAAGGCAGGCTTTTCATAGGAAATGAAACTTTAGTCANTCAGGAAACGAAACCTATCTTTATCAAGAAACATAACGGATGCAACATCTCCACTGTTTTTCTTTTTTAGGATATCTCTGCTCCCACTAGTGGCCCCCCTCTACCTCCTCCGAGGCAGGAGGGGGCACTTCCATGAGAATGCGAGACTCCTGTTTGGAGGCAAAATAAGTAATGGTGGATTCTTCATCCGACGATTCCGAGTGATCTGGATCAGTGTCGGATAAAGTCAGCAGAGCCATTTTTTCCATAGGAAGGTCAGGTTTTAAGGATTCATATACATCCGCATTAGCAAGCATGATATTGATTTTTGATATATTGGAGTCAAGTCCATTTAAACGTTCTTTTAAAAAGGAAAGAATACGGGAAAATACACAAGGGCCAATCATGCAAATCAATAATAAAATAATACAAGGTCCTATAATAGCAGAAAGCAAGGTGGTTACCCATGGGGAAATGTTAAACATACTCTGATACCATGACTGTTGTGATATGCGATCTTGTTCTCTATCTTTCAGTCGCTTTCTTAATTCATGCATAGAATCTTGTACAATACCAGATTGATCAGAATAAAAACAACATTCTTCTTTAAGAGCAACACACATACCACCTTCTTTAAGAAATAGGAGATCAAGAGCTCTTCTGTTTTGTAATGTAACTTCAGCAAGGGAGGAAAGAGAGGTTTGAAGAGCAGAAATAGATTGTTCAATACGAGATAAGTCTTCATCTATCTCATGACTGAGTTTCTGAATTTGTTGATAATTAATGACAAGGGCAGAGATACCAGTAGCAGCTCCAGCAGCTCCTAACCCTAGTAAGACAGAGAGGGTCAATGCCATAACAGGCTCTCGTTTGGCCCTGAGGTGATATTCAGGGGGCTCCATTAATGAAGTAAAATCCTGGGGAGAATAGTAAGTGATCTTTGGGATTAAACGAACTTGTATGCAAAAGGAGTTTTGTGATATCAACACATCTCCATTTACACAAGCTGTCGCTCCTGTAGAACAGGCCCATATAGAATTTTTACCAGGAATAAAATATTGGCCTTGGAGACTCTTAATGATGTTACCACCCGATGTTGTGTATAAATCATTTTCTCCGTCGCCTGAACCAGAGCGGCTGACTGGTAGCCATACACAACATCCATAACGTCCTGTAGTGAAATTAGCACAATACTGAGAATAGTTATCAGGAATATGACCAAGACAACATCCATGTCCCATGATAGATGTAATAGTGATGGAGGTAGCATTCCACCTACAAAGGGAATCTGTTGTAGCATTCTGGATAGGCTCTACAGAACCTACAGCATCATAAAAGGGTGGAGTAGCAGATAAACAAAGCCAACAATTATCAACTTGAGAGGAATTAATAGTTGTTTTCAATAAAAGGGAGGAAGCATTTACAAGATTTAACAAAGGATTTGGAGAATTGGAAACATCAGTTTGTAAGAAGGAAGACTGAATATGTTTGTTAGGACCTAGTGGAGGAGAATGTGTAGACTGAAATGTAAGTCGGATTGAAAACACATTTCCATCGTCTCCGGATCCACTCCATTCTCTGCCTCCCCAGGAATAACCAATGGCCCATTGTTGTGCTGTAAGGGCCTTACCTCTGGTGGTGAAGGTAATATTTAAAGGGTTCATTCGCTCACCACAACAATGGAAATTAGAAGTACATTGGGGAGAAGGAGGTTTACCATTTGTTCGTGTAATAGAAATAAGATCAGTTAGATGAGGAGCTGTCCAGGAGATGGCACCCGTTGAAACACAAGACCAGGAAGCACAATATTTGTCCATAGAGGTGCCACATCGATGTTTATCTTCAGGTGTCTTAGGCTCGGGGCAAAAATACAAACTCCACCATGTGGCTTCAAGTGGAGATGGCGTACAAGAGCCACCCTTGTCCCATATGTTGTTCTGGAGAGTTTTGGAAGCAAATTTAGTCACTCCTGTGCCCATCTCGGCAAAATCAAAATGTAAAATGGGAAACCAGGGCCAGGTTGTATAGTTAGAGATTTGATATAAGACTTGATTTTCAAAGTCTCTGATGGTCCACGTATAATGAAGAGGGCGGTGAGGATTTAAAGGAAGAGCACGTCGTTGTCGAGAGGGAGCTTCTTGTTGTTGCAAACGAGGTTGCGGGTCAGAAAAGGGTAAAGAGTGGGTGGCCACGCTCAAAGATGAGCGTGGGTGTGAAACAAAGTCATAAGCAAGCAGAATATTAGATAGGGGAGGTTTTGCATGGCTAGCCTTAGAAGCGAGTTCAAAGATAGTTGTTGAATATAGGCGGTTAGAAGACATAAAACCAGATACATAATATCGCCCCGTCGTCTCAGGGGTTACGAAAATAGAAAAGGTTATATGACAGGGGTAATAAGAATACACAGTAGAAACATGGGGAGAGGGAGATAAGGAATGTTGCGTTTAGGGTAGCGAGATACTACAAACGGACAAAAGGGTTGACCTCGGTCAACACAATGAAAAAAGGCTGCAGTATTGAGATGAAGAAAGGAAAAGATGGGACTACAATATAAACCTCTACTCATATTAAGGGGGTTTTTCAGATGCATCGGCACACGTCTCAGATTCAAGGGTCGTCGTGGAACGGACATCATGAGGGAGAAATTCATCAATAGCATCATCAAGTGCAGGATCCACATGATTGATGCAAAAATGTTGAATACTGGGATAGGTGGAATGATGTAAGAGGCACTTGCTGCACCAATGACAACACTCACAGCCACGCTCACGAAGGCAATGACGACACATCTACTGAGGAAATATGATCTGTTGTGTTAATGAAATAGGGACGGACACAGCGAGCAGGAACCCATAGAACTTTGTCAGGTAGTTGGACTGCCGCGTAGCCTCTTCCCCAGGTGATGAGGTCTGCTGGGCCTTTCCAAGCAGGATCAGGAAGTTGCCTATAGTAAACAAGTGGTCTTGAAGTTGGGACAACAGGTTTAGTAAAATGTCGAGACACAGCAGACAAAGGAGGGGTACCAGTAAGGTTGAGAAAGTTAAGAGTATATAGACAAACATTTAATACATTTTGCAGTGCTGGGAGGTTAGGGGGGCTTAAGCCTTTTGACCCCATATATCGATCTAAAGCATTTTTTAAGGTTTGATTAGCTCTTTCAACAATAGCCTGCCCTTGACTATTGAAAGGTATTCCAAACTTATGAATGATAGACCAATGGTGGCAAAATTGTGAAAATTGTGAACTAATATATGCTGGACCATTGTCA